TCAGTTTTTGGAGTAAATTATTCACAAATGATAAAAATGAATGCAAAATGAGTGCTAATATTAATAAATGAATGGATGAACCATAGGATAGGGTATTATATATCAGGAGATGTATTGTGTAATAAGTAGTGGAAAAGGTTGCGATGTGTCATATGGAGAGCTACTAATACCCAGTAAATCATTTCAAATGGTAATAATTCATATAATTCATGGAAAGGGAGGTGTTTTTAATACGATTTGCGCCGGCAGTCGGTGTAACTCTATTGGAGAGCCGTATATCCAGTATTGATAGCGTATGTGAAATGTAGTGAATAGTAGTCTAGTGTAGAGTATATCGCATATCAATATAACATATCGTCTCTCAGTTCTCATACACTTCTCATTCAATATATTATATAATAACTCGATTACAGACACAAAAAAGGGGAGATATGCTGGCGATTCACGGCACCGGCAGCTTTACATACGATGATTGTAATGCGTGTTGAGAGAGAGAGAAAGAGAGAGAGAGAGAGAGAGAGAGACTGCAAACTACTACTGGTGTGGATAAAGGCATTGAGAATAAGTCACTCTTTGAGCTCTTCAGAGTTGGGCATAAAATATATTTTAGTCTCTTTGTGCTCTCTCTCTCTCTCTCTCTCTCTCTCTCTAAATGTGTTTCCCGTATATAATATATATTGTGTTTAATTTTGATGGCAATTCATGCGTACGGGTCGTGTACGCTATTATTAGAGGGATACCATATTCACCCAAAACTCACCAACCGATTGCTTGTTGTGTGTGCGCGCTCACTATGTTGTTAACTATAGTCTATCTGGTAAACTACCAGTGCTCTCACTCCACTCACTCACTCTCTCCCATCTCACAAAACGAAACCATTCACTAACTATGCCTATCATTAGTTGAATGCCAAAAGCAAATGCATTATTGCCTCACATAATACTCTAAGAGTACACCGTATTATATACTGCTTTAAACACACAGTCTATAATGAATGCCGTATTTTATACTTCAAAATACTTATTATTATTATTTGGAGTAAAAAATTATATCTCACGATAAATGATTAACAATAGTGTAGTTATATATTGGGATATAATGCTTAGTTTTTTTGGTAAGATAGCAGTTATTCAATTGCAATTCAATTACAAGTTTCTCTGGTGTCTAATATAATCAACAATTTCTATGAAATATATATTTAATGTATTGAAAATTAAATTTATCTCTATTTTTCTTATATGTATTTCTTATGAAAACCTCTGCTACCGATACCAATAGGTGTGTCCATTATATTTATATACCATTGAATTGCATTATATCGCAAAATAATATATAATTAATGATTTTATTGCAATCGTTTATACGGTATACATGTATAAGACTATTAAATGTTTTTATATTTTTATTAGATTTCGTATATAATGTAATATAAGAATATAAATAAATTTTTAAAACGATGCAAAAAAATATTATTAATAAATCACTCATTATTATAAATTATCTGACAATTCAAAGCGAGTACTATATTATAATTATCGATCATTTAATGCCTCTCTTAACGTCATATTTACATAAATTAGTGTTTAGTTTAAACAACAAAATCAAAAAATTTCTCTCTATTCCAATGGGAGAGAGAGAGAGAGAGAGAGAGAGAGAGAGAGAGAGAGAGAGAGAGATTGTGTAGCATAGTAAGTTATATGAAATTTTATTGTTTTTTGTCTCAGTATATAATAGTCGATACAAATTTTGCTGCGATTGTCAGATAAGACTTCAATACTTTTTTGTGTTTCCAATAATTAATACTGAATTGAACTCTCAGTTCTGTGTTTTGTTTAATGGCAATCAATAATTTTAAGCCAAAATTTCCTCATATAATGTGTAAAATATATAATAAAAAACTTTTTTCTCGTTTGTTTGCATTACAACAGAATATATTTTTTGAGTCCTTTTTGCTGATCAAACCTGAAGGCTATGTTCGCTGGCATTGTGTGAAACACTGTTTGCTATGTAACGCGAAAATGAATATGGTATCCCTCTAATAATAGCGTACACGACCCGTACGCATGAATTGCCATCAAAATTAAACACAATATATATTATATACGGGAAACACATTTAGAGAGAGAGAGAGAGAGAGAGAGAGAGAGAGAGATTGTACAGCATAGTAAGTTATATGAAATTTTATTATTTTTTGTCTCAGTATATAATAGTCGATACAAATTTTGCTGCGATTGTCAGATAAGACTTTTAGCTCTCAATACTTTTTTGTGTTTCCAATAATTAATACTGAATTGAACCCTTGGTTCTGTGTGTTGTTTAATGGCAATCAATAATTTTAAGCCCAAATTTCCTCATATAATGTGTAAAATATATAATAATTTTTTGAAAAAAGAGCAAACAAACGTAATGTTGTCTTATATAAAAAACTCAGGAAAAACGACTAGTTTGGACTTCCGATACAAGCGACCGTAACACACTTTGTGACAAACGATACATTGCGCTTTTATAGTGTCAGAAATTTGGTTTAAAATCAGTATAAAATATATAAATCAATGTTTCCAAAGCCGTAGTCATTATTATACATATTATTAAAATCATTACATTTTATACATAAAACTACAGAATATTATTGCATTTGAGAAATATGTGCCGAATTTGAGGCAAAAATTTCTTTATAAACACGATTATAATTATTGTTATTATAGCCTAAGAATTCATAATTTATTCCCCAAAACAGAAATCAAATGCTTATTACATAATTGGTTTGTTTCACGAAAATCGTGAGCCATCTCTCTCCTCACCATTCATTCAAAAATATTATAGTTATGACTTTATGTGACATTATATGTGTGGCAGACCTGTAATTTTTACCAAAGTAAAAAAGCGACAGTCTGATAATCTGTGTTTCTTAAACTATATGTAAAATTTAATTAATTTAAACGAGGCAAATCGGAAATTAAATGATTTTTGTGTGTGAATACAGTCCCAGAAATTTTGGTGAAATAGGTATACCTATTGGTCATCGCATAGACCCCAAAAGTACCCCAAAAATAATTACTACGCTATTTATTACATTAATGCCATATTTTTATAATATCAATACTGAAATACACTGTAATATACACACCGTCTGGACATTAAAAATGGTTTCATTTTTTCGCTGTCAGACTATTAGACACAAAGAATTTGATATACATTTTAAATTAATTAAATTTGGAGGCAAATCGGAAATTAAATGATCATTAGTGCTGTTATTATGATTTTTGTGTGTGAATACAGTCCCAGAAATTTTGGTGAAATAGGTATACCTATTGGTCATCGCATAGACCCCAAAAGTACCCCAAAAATAATTACTACGCTATTTATTACATTAATGCCATATTATAGGCAATGCACAATAATTGTACCAGGAGTTAAAAGTAGTTATTTTGTGCACACAAAGTGTTATCACGTTTTCCAATGGTTGAGGTTTTCAAACATTTTACCAAAAGTGCATATTTTTACCCTTAAATTATACACTATCGCAAACTGGGCCGGCTCAAACCAAACATGTGATTAGCATTAATATTTTAGGAACTTTACAAAAATATCTCATTTATTATGAAATAATAAGTATTTTATAAATTAATTGTTTTGAAAATTTAAAAACATTTTACTAGAGCTGATAATCGCCATTAAAAATAATGTAATTATAAAATATTTCGGTTTATGATAACTATAGCGAGAATTGAACACAAAATGAATTGTCTTTTTGCTGTTATTTTATTGTTTTTTGTTGTAAATATTTTGTATGTTATGTTTTACAACAGAAAATTGACTTAAACTCAAATTTATATTTTAAATTCATGTTTAGGCGTAAGAAATATAAAGCGAAACACAAACACAAACGCAAAGCAATTGCGACCGCAATGAGAGTGCAGTCGGAGACCAATCATCAGACTTACGAAAAACCGTTTGAGACATAAAAGCAATTGAAATCATAATTGAAATAAACTATTTGTGAGGGAAAGGTATGCTATTCTGTGTGATGTGCCGGTCCATCCGCTGTACACCTCAAATGGTCTGACATTATATTTAATAACCGAACCGTCTGTTCAAAGGAAAGCCATAACTCATAGAAATTATACTTTTGAGAGAAAAAAGTAGTCATAAAATCGTAGGGAATGTAAAGAAATGTGTTTTTTGTTTGTTAAGCAAATAGTCGTATATACTCTTCATATTTGCATTCATAGCGAATGGGGAAAAGTGTTGAAATGTTTTAGAGATTTTAATAATAAAAAATAGTGAATAAAATTGAGATTTAAGTTGAATGCAAACACAATGTATGCGACAAATAAGTAGACCTCTCGTAGTATAGTATAGTAGATGTGATCTTAAGTCTAATATATAGTTCTTATAACAAGNGTAGATGTGATCTTAAGTCTAATATATAGTTCTTATAACAAGTATTATATTGTATTTGCGATACAAGTGTTTGTTTTGGACAACCATTTGGTTCGCCTAAACCCAAGTGCGGCCAAAACCTACCATAAACTCAATCACAAGCGAGTGAACTGTATTTCCATTCAATACAACCACTTATTCATCGAAATCACAACTTTTCGCTCAAATTTATACAACTCTTTTGGATATGAATTTCAAATTTGTATTCAAACTCAATGATTAGGAATAATATAAAATATTAGTGTTTTATAATAAATTAAATTATTTTATAGGTAAAGATAAATAAATATCAAGGTACTTTTGTTAATTATCTTTTTTAATAAATCTTTAATTATTCTACAATTTAATTGCTTTTTCTTATAAATGAATGAATAATCAAACTATAGTTTCAATGATATTAAAATGACAATATTTTCCGATATAATAAATTAATTACAAAAATGATAATTACTTCTAATTGAGACCAAAATAAACTTGATAACTTATTTAAATTAGAGTAACTAATGAGTATTTATAGTATATAATCACTAATATTAATCATAATATCAATACAATTAGAGCGCTGTATAGCTATATATACTGTTTATATGCAATATATGGGCAATAAATTGTCTTGTTCATTGAATGTCTATTCAGTGGTAGTAATCAATTGTAATCAATAGGGCCTCCAAAGGGTTTCTGATGTAGTCGTCGTTGTCGTCGTGTTACTACTGTTAGCACTGGTAGTGACGGCACCGGCAGCACCACCACCGCTGATACTGCCATTAGTTTCATGTGATGAATGATGCGACGAGTGGTGAACAACAGTCCTATCAAATATTGATGACCTACTGGTGCTTACATGTTGTCGGTGTCGATGATGTTGTTGATGTGGATGTCCATTACCGGACACAACATTATCGATAGCACTGGTATTGTTCGCACGACTTCGCGCACTACCGACCCCTCGATGCTGTGGATCACAATCACTATTACTGTCGTTATCTGTACTCATAGGGCACTCATCATCGGAACCGTTGGTCTCGTGATGTCTGTCCAACACATTACTGTTGTTTAACAAGTGCTGAGTAGGCTGTCCGCCCCCACCCAACTGAGACGGATATAACTGGGGGTAGAGTAGCGACGGCGCCATAACAGAGGGCCCGTTGAGGTAGGCCGTGCCGGCACTGGACGTGGAGTTTGCGTAATAGGCGTGCGATGAGAGCAGTGCGGCCGCCGTATACGAGTGGCTCACCGATTGGGGCAACAGTGAGGCCACGGCGGCCACCGTCGACGTACCGGTGCTGTTGAACGCGGAGTTCGTTGTGGACACCACTGCCGGTCCGTTGGGTCCGCACGTCAAGCCCTGTCTCAGTTCACTCAGTCGATCACATAATGCCAACTCTTGGCTGAATCGCATGGAATCTACCGTTGATTTCAACGATAATCCGGTTCCTGTGGTCGAAGTGGAGGACAGGCTCTCTGTGGGACTCGACGTTATGGTTATTTGTGTGCCATATGTTGAGGCCGGGTTGGCTCGATCTGTGGGGCCATTGGTTTGCAATTAATATAATGCTTACGAGTATTATATGAAAACTACACTATTTTTAAATGTCAACTAATTGTCACTTAAGGCACACATAACTCTCATTTGTATTGATATTTAAATATTTATAAAATTATATAAAATTTAACATAGAAATCATTAGACTACAACATGAAATGACTACATACCGGGGCCATGAATGGGCGGACAGTTATCCACGTGACTGTTACTGCCGGCCGATACGGACACGAGAGAGGCGTCGATGGGATACGAGACGGGAGGGGACGGGAAGCCCGATGTGGCCGTTAGGGCGGATGTGGCGGACGCCAGATAACTGCTATAGTATGGACTCCAGTCGCCCGCACCGGTCAAGTGGAATGGGTTGTTGTCTGTCAACATATAATCAATAATATTTTAATTTAATCAAATGTTTAGATACAGTATTCAATAGATTTTACACTAATATATACAGATTCTGTACAAACCCTTATCTACTGTACAATACTGAATATTATAGTATAGCGTGAGATTAGGTTATAAAGAAATTTTGATATAATGTTTATTTTATATAATCACATATTCTGGTATGTATTTGTCAACATATTGTGTTTATTTTTAATTATAAACACAAATAATTCTCGTTTCAATTCTCAGCCATTCATAGAGAATAACTATAATAATAATAATAATATAAGTATTAGTATTAGTGTTGTTTAATCCAATGGTTTGATAACAAGAATAACATTTATTTAGCGATCATTTCATGGGAGAGAGAGAGAGAGAGAGTCAGAAGGGATGAGAGAATAAAACTAAACGACAAAAGAGAGTAAAAGTAGAGAAAAAAGAAGAGAGAAATTGAAGTAAAAGATAAAGAGATGAAAGAGTGGGAGATTACCAAAGGCTATAAGCATTGGTTCATTAGTAGAGATACCAAAATTGGTGACTCTGTGGTAATAGCGGTGATGCCATTACCTAATATACTAGTAATACTACACAACACACAAAACTACTATAGCTATAAGTGCACAGTATATATGCTTTTCCGCAATTAATGGTCAAAATGTTGTCTCTCTTCACTATTTTCCAGACTATCTCTCTCTCTCTCTCTCTCTCTCTCCCATGAAATGATCGCTAAATAAATGTTATTCTTGTTATCAAACCATTGGATTAAACAACACTAATACTTATATTATTATTATTATTATTATAGTTATTCCCTATGAATGGCTGAGAATTGAAACGAGAATTATTTGTGTTTATAATTAAAAATAAACACAATATGTTGACAAATACATACCAGAATATGTGATTATATAAAATAAATATTATATCAAAATTTCTTTATAACCTAATCTCACGCTATACTACAATATTCAGTATTGTACAGTAGATAAGGGTTTGTACAGAATCTGTATATATTAGTGTAAAATCTATTGAATACTGTATCTAAACATTTGATTAAATTTAAATATTATTGATTATATGTTTTCTCTTCTTTTTTCTCTACTTTTACTCTCTTTTGTCGTTTAGTTTTATTCTCTCATCCCTTCTGACTCTCTCTCTCTCTCTCAATGAGAGGGAAACTCATTAAAAGTAAACCTTTTGTTGTGAGCGTTCACTTTCTATTGCCTATTCAAAGCACTTAAAACTATTATTACTCTAATTAAATATATTTTCCAATATTTTCAGCTCCATTTCCAAATGTCTGTTCTCCACAACCGCTCATTAATGGCTAACCATTTGCTTGCATTGAGTCAATGGATTCGCAGTATAAACAGATGAGACTATACTGTATGTCACAGACATATAAATTGGTCAATAAGTGAGCCAACGTTTTGGCTTCAAATGGTAAGCCTCTCGCTCTTATGCATTAGATGATGGAGAGGGAGAGAGAGAGAGAGAGAGCGAGAGAGAGAGAGAGGCAAAAAAGATACTGCACTCAGGAATTAGTAATCATGCAATTCATGCAATAACTACAAGACATATAATAAGACACAAAAAACAATTGCCTTAACATTCAAACCGACTCTAAGAGTATATAATACAGAGACTTATTATTAGAGAACTAACTATTTTGGACTCAATCCAAACCCATGAGCCACTAGTTTAGCTATCGGTTCACCAGAAAAAAGCAAAGTTAAGACAAAAAATAAGAGACTTTTATTGCATTTTTCGGTGGCAATGGTAGGGCTGGTAGTGTGTGATGGCAGCGGTCATCCGCAATGAATTGTCTGCATTTGTGTGTCTCTTATACACACCAAAGTAAGGCATTCCTTAACTATAATACCCAGTATATAAGAATTTGCTCTCAATTTAACTTTAAATTCAGACTATATTTGAAGCCACACTTTTCCATTATATGGTAAAACACATAAACTACTTCTTGTCTGCTTTATCAACTATTTTTTGTGTTTTAAATTCAATCTGATATATAAAACAAAAGCATTTTTAATGGATGACTCAAATGCTAGACTGAGTCCTTCGGAAAACTTATATATTATTACCAAAACTTTTAGCGTTTCAGACAAAACAATATCTTAATGTTTATTCACATTATATTGGTTTAAAATTTATATAACATGCCGTGAATACAAATTTTACACACAAAATATTATCATTTGCTTTAACATTGATGTGTCTATGAATCGGATAATTGTTTTTTGTGTGTTTGTATGCGAATCCTATTCTATATATAATAATAGCAATTAATGACCTAAAATAGTAATAATATTGTAATACAATAGTTATTATTGAAAGGGTATGTAATTTAAAGAGTCATATGGAGTACTGGTTGATCCATACGATGGTTATCCGGCACTACAGATGCCATTAATGATCATTTGGTGTACACTATATGAACAGTGAGTCTCGACTGTGAAAAACTAATCGCTATTTTTCGCAACACAAACACCGAAACAACGAAAAATATATATAAATTCATATCTATTACCGGGAATTACTATGTGTTATAATTTATCACCAAAATGTTGTACACAATCAGTGTTTGAGGGTATTGTGAGCTAACTTTGCCATCAAATCATATAAAATAGAGATTATATCTCGGATGAGGAGCTGTACTACTGGTGCTGTACTACTGGTGCTATACTGACAGACACTCTCATGTAATACTCAACACAATATATTTCATTTGATTGCATGAAGTTGTCTATGAATTAGAGTTTTACAAGAATTGAATACATGGCTAGAGTTAGCGTTAGAGAGTGAATGAGTGTTATATAATATATATGAGTGAAAAAGTGTCTTAAAAAGTGAAACAATTGCTGAGAGAAAATCGACTTTTGTTTGAAAACTTTAAAAAACTCTGCTCGCTCATGCATTTGATGGAACAGTACTTTGTTGGGTACTTCCCTCCGCACACACACACCACTATTACCACCGATAATGATAAGCATGACTGGCAATCATGGCCTACAGTTCCCAACACTACAC